AAAGACACAAAAAATTGCACAAGAAATGGGAGATAGCTCTCAACCAAGCTAATGAGAAAACTCACTTTTCATTAAACTTCAAATTGTCTTTACAACAAGACATCTCAATGCTATATATAGCCATCCTAGCAAGCCATATGAAAAGTCTTAAGCAAATGAAAAGACTTGTAACTTACAAGAAATGAAAAGACTTGTAAATGAAAAGACATAATTTATAAGAAATGAAAAGGCTTGCAAATGAAAAGACATAACTTCAATAAATGGAAAGACAAGCAAATGAAAAGGTTAAGAACATGGAGAGTTTAACAAAATAAATTGCAATCCCGTCCATAATGAAGGATGTGAGTGTTTGACTTGGTTTTTGAATTGAATGAGTTGACTTTGACTTGTTTTGATAGAGCTGACTTTGACCTTGACCAAATGGACTTTGACTTGCCATAAAAACACTTAAAAATGCATAACTTGCACCAAATTGAAGTGCATAGTTCTAACTTCTTGCACATCTTCCTTTATTTCTCTTGTCGAGTTCAAGAACGCTTGGACACGAAGTAGCAAAGCTTGTTGAAGTTTCCTAGCTCTCGATCTTGTAATCGGTCCATGAGGCATAACAACGGTAGCTCCTTGGTTCATATCAACCTCTATTAAATTAGTATAAATATATACGAGTTACTAAAATATAAATAAACGAGAGCTACAACGAGTTTATCCCTCACGAATATAGGGTTTGGTTCATGGTAAAAGAAAATAAAAGAATGGGTAGAGAAGAAATGTAGCCCATTGAGTAAGGAAGCTTCAACAAGAGTGAAGATTCCCCCAGCTTAGTAAAGACGCAAGGTTCAGCTTCTTCTTCGTTGGCTTCTCCTCAAAATGGGTGAGGAATGTTCTCTAATTTCGATGCCCAAATTGATTTTATGTTCTAGGGCTCTGTGTGGCGGCTGGACACTTTTCTTCTATTTGTATCGCATCCTTAAAAATTAAGGCACCACTAGGAGGTTGTATGAACATGGTAAAACTAATGCAAATCAATTACTACGCAGTCACACGCTCTATTTTTGAATTGTACTGATAGGGCAGAAGCTACTTGGACATATGCTAGAGCAGGAACAAAAACAGTCACTGCACGCAAGCAAATGCTTCGACAAAAAGCTAAATTCAAGACTAAACATCTACTGGCAGCATTATTGCTTGAGAAAGTAGGGCAAGAACAAGATGCACACAACAACGAATGCAAGAACAATCATATTTCAATTCATTTAAGCTCTCAAAATTTAATTTGGGGGAGGGGTAGACATATCTAACTACAAAAATCTAAATTTGAATGCATGAAAAATCAAACCGCATAAAATACAATAAATGAAAATAAACAACATAAAGTAAAAATGTAAATTTAAAATATCATTGGGGGGTGGGGGGGGGTTATTCAACATGAGCAAAAGAGAAAGGTACTTCATCTTGCATGTCAAACAAGTCAATCTCTTTTGTCTTCTTTCTCATCCAACGAGTCATCTGTGGGCTGATCTTCCTCTTTGGATCCATCATATTTTTCCCTCTCTTTGTCGCTAGGGCTCCTACAAAACCGATATAGCATACCTCTTCCTCTCAATTGAGGAAACAGAAATTCCCTTTTCTACGTTTTTGTTCTTCTTGGACTTGGTGATTATAGTTGCTTACACTTGAGGTTTTGCATTTTTTTCTTTGTTGTATGAAGATTCTAGCTCTCTTTTCGATTTTCTCATCTTTTATGCATGACCTTTCAGAGTAGGCTCGATGTCGGGTGGCTCTTCTACAAGTAAGCTTGGTGGCTTTTCCTCTACAATGATGTGCATTTTATCTCCACCAGTAAAACCTTCTTAAGCTCCTGCATCCCTGCTTATAGTATGCTCCAATATAGTTCTTCCTCTGCCACCCAGTTGCTCTAGTATAGCTTATGAGTTCAACGTCTCTATCAATGTTTCATTTAGAATTTTCTGCACAGAGCACTCCTCAGCTTCTACCGGATACTGCATGGAGTCATACACTGAGAATTTGATCTCCTGGTCTTGTACACGCATGGTGACCTCTCCTTTGTGTATATTCACTAATGCTCTCCCTGTGGCTAGGAATGGTCTTCCAAGGATGATTGGTAATTCTTTATCTGCATCATAGTCAAGTATTATGAAATCAGCAGGAAATATAAACTTATCTACCTGTACCAATACATCTTCAATCTTCCAATCTGGATGAGTAATGAAACAGTCTGCCAGTTGAATAGTTATAGTTGTAGGCCTAGCTTCTCCCATGTCTAGCTTCTTATAAACAGATAAAGGCATTAAGTTGATGCTCGCTCCCAAGTCACATAGTGTTTGCCTAGTTTTCTCATCTCCAATAGCTACTGTAATTGTGAAACTTCCAGAATCTTTCATTTTCTTCAATATTTTACTGGTCAAAATTGTACTACATTTCTTGGTTAAGTAGACTATTTCAAACTCTCATAGCCTACGCTTCTTAGTGAGCACATCCTTAAAAAATTTCAATATGTAGGCATCTGCTCCAAGGCTTCCACCAATGGGATATTAATATGTATATGCTTAAGTACCTTAAGAAATCGTTTAAACTGCACATCTTGATTCTTTTTTTACAGCCTTTTCTGGTATGGTATTGTAGAAACATATTCTGTTGTGATTGCTGGAGCAGTGGCCTGTTCCAGATGCTTCGGCTTGTCAATTGTTTTGGACAAGGATGCTTCATCTTTGTCTGTCTTAGCAACTGGGTTGACCTCTTCGCTTGGGTTGCCTTGTGGTTCCACTATCTGCTCACTACTGCTCCATAACTGCCTGAAGTCTGTCCTTTTTTTACTGGCATGGTTATAGGTGTCATGTCTGTCTCACTCTCTTCTTCTTGATTTAATTCATTATGGATTACTGGAGCATTTGGACGGGCAGGGGGTAAAGCCTTCCCCCTTCTTAATGTAATGACCTTACATTGCTCCTTCCCATCTCTTTTTGGCTATTCAGTGTCACTAGGAAGCACTCATCGTGGGTGACTCTTCAATTCTGTGGCTAGCTTACCTATTTGCACCTCCATTTTCCCCAAGGATTCAGCTAAACTTTGAACAGTAGTATCATTCTTCGCCATATAAGCCTCATTCTTTACCATATGTACCTTAAACATATCCTCTAGGGTCATGGTCTCTGGATGTTTTGGAGCAGCCTGTTGATTCTGCTCAGAAAATCCAAATGGGTATTGCACCTTCTGATGATATGCTGGAGCATTACTGGTTTCAGCTGCTCCAGCATTCTGCCCTAATAGATTTCCACTCGAGATAAGATTAGGGTGATTCCTCCAACTTGAATTGTAGGTGTTTCCATAGACATTTCCCCTGTTTGGTTGTTGATTGACCAAATAAAACATTGAAGCTGAGTTGCCCGGATGTTGGGATTTTCTCTACCTTTAAAAAGATTAGAAACTCGTGCAAGCGCACACGGTCACAAGTAATACTCGGAAGTAATCCAAGGTCGAATCCTCAGGGACTTGTTGCTTTTCAAAATCAAGTAATGCAGTGAAATAGTTCAAATATGCAATTGTGATTTAGGAAGAAAATAATGGTGAAATGTTGTTGTTTGGGGTTTTAACTATAAGGCAATTTAATGAAACTCAACCTCCTTGTCTCCTACCTTAGTTTTGATGCAAAACATGGAAAACACACTATGTTGGGAAAATGCACCAGGCGCAATTCCTGACTTTTCTTGGGATTTGAGTTCTACTCTTTCACTACCACTTTTGGTTGCTGCAGAG